GTAGAATATGTGCAAATAGGGTTTAAGTTAAATGATATTTAAAAGGACGCATCAGATCGTAAGTGCCAAAGACTGAACCAGGTTGATCTTGAGTGACCTCACCTAGCAAAAACAGCCCGAACGACGACAATGCACTTCAGAGACGCCATTACGAAAAGCAGACTAAAAATTATCTTTAAGTGTAGCTCCTGGTATAAGTGAGCGTTATTTAACATCAATGAGTGAACTGACACCAATATCGACAGAAACCGGAAATTGCACACGAACATAAAAATGATGTCAACTCAGGACCACACAATTCTAGCTCTGCGCTCGAAACCATTCACAATATATTCAGCGAAAATATTCAGGCGGCCTCCCAGACCGCACTCGTAGCACGAGGTTTAAACGAAACTGGGAAAGGTGGAGACCATCTTTTCAAGGTGCATCATCGAAATTGTACTCTATGCAGGGGCTTAACCAGGATTTCGCCCAGGAGTGGCCAAACCCCGTCAGGGAGAGATCTCCTAGCAGATGGGCCCGTCCTGGTCTTCGCTCAGGGCCCTTTTTGGAGACTTTTCCATTCGAGCTCCCTACTTGTACGCCCGCGTGGCCCACATTTTGTTTCGTTTCCGGTGCCCTCCGGGCGGCGGAAACTGCAATAAAGCCCCGGGTCAAAAAGTCCCAAGGGTCCTCTCCCCCCCCCCCCGTGTAGAAGGTACGGCCCCAAAAGCCGCACCCTTATCTACCCCAAGGGTTCTATGACTGCGTGTACTACATACTCAAATCCCTCCATCGCAAAATATCATGGGGCTTAAAAATGTTCCACACAGAGTGGTTCGTGGCGCCCTAAGCAATTTAACACTTACGACTCCTAATGATGAATTATAATAGCCACACCACTATCAGTTGACGTGGCCCTGGGGTAATAGCAGAAGAGTTTGGCTTTCGAACGCCCATATAAATATAAGCCCCTTGACTTCAATCGTTGAACCTGCAGAAAGCAGACTATTTCATATTCCCAAGAGCGCAATGAGCCCCTAGTTATTCCGGCAAAATGATTTAGTAGCTCCTATGCTGATTATGTTCAACACTTAAGATACCGGAAGGTACTGTTTAAATGACGTTATCAAGCGAGTGTTGCTTGCGACGGGTTTACATTTGTGATTTGAACGAACTTCTAGCTGCAATTTCTTAGCGTTTTGATTATATAAGTTTATCATTACTTTCGTATCAAAGATCTATTATTTCGGGGGTGGAGGGAAATTATGTTGGGCACAGACATCATTCTGCTTTGACAGTCACTCATAATGTCGAGCTTTTTCAACCACCACGCTAGAATACTGGTGGCGAAATACAATAAAAACAACCGCGGTACAAGATGGCGGACTTCGTGTGAGACGTAAGTAAGATTGGAATACCAAAATCAACGGCAAATAGCAGCACGCGACACTATAAAGCGGAACTACAGCGCGGGAAAACACAAGGAGAGGCGGGCACCCCTTGTGCTGGAAGCACGCAGAAGCAGAGGTGTTGATTCGATCGTTTGACGGCACCGCCGGTCGTGGCCATGTTGCGATCTCGTGTGCGCCGAGCATGTGTGCACAACAGCTACTGGACGACACAGGTGTGGACGGCAGCATCATGATGAAGGCCTTAAATCCGACGGTGACCAGAGGTGTAAAAACAGGACTCCGAAAACTGTCTCAAAAGCTGCAGAGCGCATATATGGGCTTTGGCGCCTTCAAGGGCAGCTAGAGCTAGCCGAAGCTTGATGGGTCTGAAATGTCGGGTCATAATAATAATTTATTACCACAATGTTTTAAATATGCGGCTGCGTAACAGGAAAACAGTTTTGCAGAAACCAGCCGCCTGGGCCGCGATTCACCCGAAAGGAATTTCAGACTCAGTCATCGCACCAAAATCGACGGAAAATTCGACCGAGACCATTCGCCTTCCGAAGACACTGCCACCGCGTCTGTTTCAGCACTGCCGGCTGGTGACAAGCGCAGGCCGGTCCTCTCGCTGCATCTGCGCGCCACGCAAGCGACAAGATCCAGTTTCTGCACGAGTGGTGCGACGCGAGGAGCCTCCCCGCCCCTCCCCCCCCCCCCCATGCGTCGTTCTGAGACCCCGCCCACCCTCTGCTGTCCGCTCCGTCGGCCGGGAGGTGCCGCCTATAACGAGCACCAGGTCGGCGAGAGTGTGCGCACCGCCCTACGGCGTGGACCATAGTTCGGCACTGAGTGATTGAACAGCCAATGGCACGCCGTTCCTGTGTATAAAGTTCGGTATTGCCATGTCTACACTTGGTGATATTAGCATTCAAGGTTTGTTTAAGTGGTTAGAGCCCACCCGCTACTGGCAGCATTCGACGGCTGGAAGCTGTGGTCAAGGTCACGCGTGAACATAAGCGCAGGTTGAAACGGTCGTGTTTTGTGAATGCAGTCAACGCTCCCTTGATAGCCTTGTTTTGCCGGTACCTCGTGAACTAAGGAAGGCCGATTATCACCGAGATGGACACTCTCAACTCACTTTATGTAAATAACTTTATCCATTTAAACTGAAAGTGAGAAACTGTTCACTAAGGTTAAAGTCATCTCCCACTGTGCGTCGTTCAAATGAGCCTGTTTCCGGCTGCAACATTTAAGCGACGAGTCCCACACGTGGCGTGACTGTAATTCGACTGTATGAAGCCTACCCCTGGCGCGGAGGCGGAGGCGGAGTTGATGAGCGGCGATGAGCTGAGGCCGTGATGATCACAGGGGCCTCAACGCGGCCGTTATCGCGCCAGCTAACAGTCGCTCCAGCCCGTTATGCCTCCACTCCCCTCCCCCTCCCCCCCCCCCCCCACAACAGCAACCGGAAGCGGCGGTACCGGCGGCCAACACACAACGCCGGGATTACAGAGCGCGTCCAGCCACGCAGCGTTCCGCAACGGGCCCGGCCGGGGGAGGGGCTGCCCTCGGTCGGACGTCTTCTGTGCAGCACAACGGGACTTACTAATGCACACGGCCGCCTCTGAGAAGCTCAAAACACACGGGCAGCAGGTGGGTCGGTGCCTGGCCGGCGTCACGTAAGCTGGTTTGCACAGGTGTTGATGGTGACTCATTCAGTGGAACCACAACGTACTCATTACAATATGACCTGTTTACTGTACAGTTTTCATTTTGCATCCATCAGCTAAATGATGTATCTTTGTTAATGTGGATAGCTCGGCAACACACTTTCACCTCTTTCCTTAACAAGCGCTAGGGGGGAAGGGCAAAATGGTTACCGAACGATGCGGCGCAGCCGCGCTAAACTTTGCACAGCTGTAGAGAACTGAATAGCAGGTCGTCTGGCATCAAAAATTCCGATGTACTTTGTAAGGTCGCTGCCCTACGGCAGGTCAAAGTCTGAACATGGATTATACGAGGTCAATTTCTAAGGAATCATTCAATTTCATGAAACAACGGATTGTTAGACGAAGCCATACATCTCTGAGATACTTTCTTAGACAACACAACAATTGAATAAACAGATTACATTGACCTAAGGTCAGTTATAAATGTCAGACCAAGGTCACAACCAGCCTGTTTTATTACTCTAGGCCTTGCTGTACGGGTTAATTTCTGGCGCCCATCGCGAATTTAGTGGCAAAAGGAACCACATAATACATCTTCCATAGACTTCTCAAAGATCAGAATAGGTCACTGACCTTAAATGACCAACATTTTGTTTTTAGGAACATGCTGGCCAGCATAATTTTTGTCGCTTATTCAACAGCAAAACTCAAGGCAGTCTTGTATTATTTTGGTCACCACGACCTTCACAGGGTCAAACAAGGTCACTGACCTTAAATGAACCTGTGGCCTTTTTCTTGGAACAGGTATCCAAGTTCTGGGGCACTTTGGAGACCAGCCAGAAGATTGACCTGCTTTGACCTTACTTTGACCAGAAGGTCATGACCAAAGAACCCCAAACTTTGACCTAAGTGAGTTCGGGTACAGACCAACACACCCTGTAAGTTGGCTGTCTCTAACTTTTTTAGTTCCTTAGATTTTAGGGGTCGTCAATTTAACCCCCCACCCGAGCGAAGGGTATCTAACCGGCCACCCAGGTGCGCGATAATGAGCTTAGCTCACCAAGTCTACGATAACATATAATTGTGTTTGCAAAAGCAGCGCTACAACCTCAACTACCAATGATCTAGGTTATGCACCGGGGACCAGAGTCTACATTAGATCCTTACCGAAAGCAATGGAATTACCAAGCCAAATTTCGGCCTCAGAATATTACCTACTCACTACACATACTTTTCTTCCAAACAAATAACAAAATAATAAGAGCTTAAGAATCTAATTAATACCCTAACAAAAACTTTCGTTATAAAGACCGGACGCCAGGAGTATTCATAGGAACTCACCACTTACCTGTCTGATGGACCTGTACCAACAGTAAGCCCTACTCACCGCCAGAGCTGGTCCGCTTGATAGACCTGTACCGACAGTAAGCCCTACTCACTGCCAGAGCTGGTCCGCTTGATGGACCTGCACCGACAGTAAGTCCTACTTACCGCCAGAGCTGGTCCGCCTGAGGGACCTGTCCGACCAGTAAAGCCTTACTCACTGCCAGCGCTGTCCGCTTGATAGACCCGTACCGACAGTAAGCCTTACTCACCGCCCAGAGCTGGTCCGCTTGGATGACCCGTACCGACAGTAGCCCTGCTCACCGCCCAGAGCTGGTCCCTTGATAGACCGGTACCGACAGTAAGCCCTGCTCACCGCCAGAGCTGGTCCGCTTGATAGACCCGTACCGACAGTAAGCCCTACTCACCGCCAGAGCTGGTCCGCTTGATGGACCTGCACCGACAGTAAGCCCTGCTCACCGCCAGAGCTGGTCCGCTTGATGGACCTGCACCGACAGTAAGCCCTGCTCACCGCCAGAGCTGGTCCGCTTGATGGACCTGCACCGACAGTAAGCCCTACTCAAGCCAGGGCTGGTCCGTCTGATGGACCTATACAGTCACCCCTACTCACGGCCAGGGCTGGTCCGTCTGGTGGATCTGCGTCTGAAGCGCGCTCATCTCCTGTTTGAGCGAGTGCAGGCAGGCCTGCAGATGGTCGAGCGGACGCGGCTCAGCTCCGCCGGCGCTCTGCGCCAGCAGCCGGCTCAGCAGCGCCTCGTCCACCGGCGAGGGCGCCGGCAGCGCGGCCAGCTCCGGGGCGCCGCGTGTGCCCTCCAGCGCGCCCAGCCGGCCGTGCAGCTCCTGACGGAGGCCGAGACGGGCTTCAGGAGGCGCCCGCGCGTGAAGGTGGCCGGGGCGGTTCGGGCAAGCGGGAATGTCACGTGGGTCAACAGATAATGTCACCCGCATGGTTCCAACCGCGGAGCTCGCCACAAACCGTTGGCGGGATTGCTTCGCGCATTAAAAAATGAAGGCACTCGTTGTTTCACACCGCGAACCTTCCGGTCACTGCCTTCTAGTTCGCGCCAGCTGACCGTCGTTCAGGAGCAGCCGGCGCGCGGGCGCCCGCAGCACTGACCTTGACCTGCTCGCTGCTGGTCTGCAGCGCCGACCTCAGTTCGGCGACCTGAGTCTGCAGGGCGAACTTCTCCTGCCGGCTCTCGTCCAGACTGGCCGTCAGCTGCTGCAGCTCCGCCGCCGCCGCCGCCAGCGACTTCTGCAAGCGCCAGCGACTCCGGTGAGATGGGTGAGCCGCAAACACCGGCCCAGTGTCACACGCTGTCCAGCGCTGACGAGGCACCCCGACTCGCGACAAACAGGTCACGAAACTCCGCAGTCTCCACCCACTCAGTCATCAAAGCGTCCAAGACCGACGTGTAATCGTCAACCCAGCATCAAACCCAGCCTCGCCTGGCAGACTGCCCCCCCCCCCCCCTCCCCTCTCTCTGCTCCGACACGGGCGCCGTCTGTCGACGGCCGCGGCGGCCACACGGCTCGGACCGCGCCCAGAGCCGGTGGAGCCAGGGCGCGGCGGCCGGCGCGGCGCGGTCACCTGCAGACCGTCCCGCTCCAGCTGGTGCCGCTGCTCGGCCAGCTCGCACTGCTCCTGCAGGCCGCGCAGCTCGGCCGCCTTCTGCTGCAGGTGGCCGCTCAGCGTCTGCGGCGGCCCGGAGGTCAGCAGCGGCCCGACAACGCCAGGCTGTGCGCCGGCGGACGCCAGGCGCAGCGGCAGCGGCGCTCACAACCGCCGACGCCTGCTAGCGGCGCCGGCCGCACGCAAATACACGACGGGCTATGTTGAGTTACGGTATCAGTTCAACCGTAGCAAGGCACACTGTCAACGTTCGGGCAACTGGCGAGGTTATGGGCACAATGGAGAAGTAACGAAGGAAACCGAAAACATCCCGGGGCACCGTTTTCTATTCCAATATTTGCAGAGGATAAATAGGGCATATAGGGAGGAAGTAGTACAAAGAAACAAGTAACGCACACTTGTTTATCTAGCCAACTTTTGTTGCTTAATGTTTACATGTACATGCGTTTGAAACTGTTCGCGACTGATTTTGCTACAAAGCCGTGCCGTGAGTGGTTCCACAACAGTACTGAGTCAGCCGCCAGCCAATAAAACCCGAAAGCTCTCCTGATACCACGGAGTAATCGCGCCACCGTGCAGACGCAGATCCTACTAATCAACGAAGACACTCATGGCACACTTCGCGATTGTCAATAGCTCGCCGAGCCCTGCACCGTGCCGCCCCGGTTGGTGACCAGCGGCGGCGGGCGCACCTTGATCTGCTGAGCCAGCACGGGGTCGTTGGCGGCGCTCTGTTCGGCGCGGCGACGCGCCTCGGCCGCCTGGCGCTGGCTCGCCTCGCTGGCGGCGCTCAGCTCGGCCAGCCGGCTGTGCGCCTGCGCCTGCTCGTGGCGCGCCGCCTGCAGCGTCGCCTGCAGCTCGGTCAGCTGCGCCTGGCGCGCCTCGGCCAGGTCCTGCGCCGTCTGCAGCCCCGCCTGCAGGCTGGCCGCCTCCTTCTTCAGACGGGAGGTGTCGCGCCGCTCGGCGAACAGCTGCGGCGGAGGGAGGCTGTGAGGCCGGCGGCCGGCCGGCCCGGCGACGCATCCAGACGCCACGTCTGGGGCCGCCCCCCCCCCCCCCCCCCCCCACTCCCCTCCCCGCCTGGCTCCAGCCCAACAAAGGGAGACCTGGATGTAGATCCACATACCGGATAATATCACATTTATGCAGCTCGTAAGAGACATTACACAGGTGTGCACAGCGGCTGCATACAACCGCTAACCCCAGGGACGCCGCAGCTGGGGGGGGGGGGGGGGGGGGGGTTGGCAGTATAACAGTTCTGAAAATAGCTTTTAGAGGACCTCAGCTTAGCAGCTTGTCAGGACTTAAGCCTGTCTTATGAACAAAAAATGACTGCTCGACGACGTAACACACAGAATTTAGACATTGTTCGTCCAGAATTAACTCCTGTCATGCGTCATGTGCATTCATTGCCCTCCGTAATATGAAAAGAGAGAGGTTGCTTCGCCTGCCATGATTCCAAAACCACTTTAAGAAAGAGTTCATTTCCACCATGTCAAGGAGGCACAATAAATAAAGTTTTGAGTAAGAGCAGGCTGCTATGGGATTCCCTTGCCCACTTACCAAAACTCAGCGGACGCATAGGAAAGCTTTGCCACCGAGGTTCCCATGCGAAAATATCCCATTTTTCAGGATACCCTTGAAAAATGTCGCTCCTCCAACTTAAAGCGATGCCCGTGTCGCTCCATCTTAGCAGAGATACATATGCATCTCCACAGCAAGCACACACACATACGCATACACCGGCCCAGCCAGCCGCGTCGGGAGCTAACTGACCTGCCTGCGCAGCTCCTTGGCCTCCAGCTGCTCCTGTGTGAGCCGCTGCTCCAGCTGTTGCAGCTGCTCCTGGAGGCGGCGCTGCTGGCTGGGCGTCTGGTCGCGCGCCGCCAGCCGCTGCTCCTCGTAGCCGGCAAGCAGCGCCTCCAGCTCAGCGGCGCGCCGCTGCAGGGCCGTGTACGACTGGGCCATTCCTGGCGCGGACCGAACGGCAGAGGTCAGACGCACACGGGCAGGCATACAGGTTCGGGCTGGTCAGAGTGCGGCTCAGGGCATATATATATATATAGATATATATATATATATATATATATATATATATATATATATATACATCCCTCCCTCCCTCCCCTCCCTCCCTCCCTCTCTCTCTCTCTCTCTCGCGGATGAGTTTCATGAAGACGCACGACACAAATCAACCACCAACACTGAAGCAGCAGTGACTTTCTAAAAAAAACTCGGTCTTGATACGAGTGCCTGGTCATCCGCACGAGGCGTATGACCAAGTGTAGCACCAGGTGTACAGCGGCACCGGCCACACTATATCCCGCCGGCCGGGAGGGGGGGGGGCGGGGTGACCACCCGGAGAACTCACCCTCGAGCCGACCGCGCTCTTTCTCCACCTCCAGCGACAACAGCTGCGCGTCATCCGCCCGGGCGCGCAGCTCCTCCCCCTCCTGGCGCGCGCGCTGCGCGTCCCGCTGCGCCGAGGCCAGCTGGCGTCCGAGCTGCGCCAGCGCCTCGTCGCGCTCCACGGCGCGGTGGCCCTCCTCGGTGGCCGGCGGTGCGCGCCGCTCCGCCAGCTCACGCTCGGCCGTCTTCAGCGCGCGCATGTATTCCCGCAGCTTGCGCGTGAGCACGCGAATGTTGGACTGGTAGCAGCGATGGCGCTCCTTGTAGCCGGCCTGGGCGGCGGCGAGCTCGTCCGCCAGGCGGCGCGCATCGTCGCCACCGCCGGCCGCAGGCGCCGCCGGCACGCCCTGCGGCCGGCCCGCCGCTGCCAGCTGCTGCTGCAGCTGCTTGTTGCGTGTCTGGCTGAGCTGCAGCTGCTCCCGCAGGTCGCGCAGGGCGGCCTCGTGCTCGGCCGGCGCCTGGTCGGCCAGCCGCCGGCGCGCCGCCGCCGCGCGCCGCTCGTTCTCGGCGTCCTGCTGATGGCGCCGCAGCTGCTGAGTCAGCGCGGCCAGCTGCTGACTCAGCGCCGCGTTCTCCTGGCGCAGCCGGTCGGCGTCTTCCTGTGCCGCTGACTGGGCGCCACTCGCTTGCGCCGCCAGCTGCAGCCGGCGCTCCAGCTCTCGGTTCTGGACGGACAGCAGGCTGACCTGGTGGCGCAGCTCGTCCGCCGGCTCGGTCGCGGCGTCCTGGTTCGGCACGTCTGCCCGGCCCCTCGGCGCGTCGCCCTCCACCACGGGCGCCGTCTCCGCGATGTCGGACGCGTCCTGACCGATCGCCGGTTTCTGGTCGTCTTCCCGGCTGCTCTGGTGCAACGTCCTGGCGTACGTTTTGACGGCCACCAGCTCCTGTTTCGACTTCTCATCCTGATCCTCCAGATCCCTGATCCGGCTGTTGCGTTCGTCCAACGAGGCTTTTGCATTGGCCTCCCTCTGCACCGAGTCGTTGACCTGGCACTGCAGGTTGCGCACGACCTCCTCCAGCTTCAGCCGGCCTTGGTCAAGCACCGCACGGTCCTGCGTCAGCTGCTGCACCTTATACCGCAGTTCGTGGTTCTGCACCATCAACTGTTTGTTCTGCTCGTTCATCTTGTCAAAGATGCTCATCTTGTCCGCCATCTGATCGGCCTGGACCTGCAGCCGACTGGCCTCTTCGAGCTTGTCGCTGCATGCCCGCAACTCGCTTTCTCGAGCGCTAAGTGACTCTCTCAGCTCGTCGAGCTGCTTGTCTTTGGACCCGGCGTTGTTCTTGAGCTTGTAAAAGCTGGCCGACATCTTCTTCAGTTCGTTCGAAAGACCGCGGGCTGCGTCGTCCACGTCCCGCTTCTCCTGGTTCGCCGACGCCAGCGCCACCTCGAGCCGGGTCTTCTGCTCCGTCAGAGCCTGCCTGGCGGCGGCGCCTTCCTTGACCTGCGCGCGGAGCTGGTCGAGCACCTGAGTGCCCTCCTGGCAGCGGAGCTTCAGCGTCTCCGACTGGTTGCTCTGCTGCGACAGCTTCTCCTGGCACTCGGCCAAGGCGAGCCGGGACGCCAGGCCAGCCTTCTCCAGCTGGGCGTTGGCGCTGGCGGCTGCTGCCAGGTCCTCTGCCGACTTCTCCAGCTGTTGCTTCAGCTCGCCGACCGTTAGCTCGAGACTGCGCACCTTGGCCTTAGCCTCGTCTAGTTCCTGACTGGAGGCTGCGCTGACTGACGGCCCGGCACGGCTCTGTTTCATCGTCTGAAAGTACGTCTCTCGCTGCAGGATGTCTGCCCTGATGTTCTCCAGGTGGCGCATAAGGCTCTCCTTTTCGCGGACGGCGCGCGCCTGGGAGCTGGCCGCCGCCTGCCGCGCCAGCGCCAGCTCACCGCGCAGCCGCTCGGCGCCGCTCCTCTGCGTTAACAGCTCCGTCTGGGCGGCCATCAGCTCCTGCTGCTGCTGTAGGTGCGCTTCCTGCGACGCCTTCAGCTGGCTTCGATACCAGTCGCGCGAGCGCTCGCGCTGCTCCAGCTCCTCGCGCGCCGCCTGGCCGGCGCTCTCGGCGCGTAGCCGCTCCTGCAGCCGCTGCTGCGCCTCCACCACCAGCTCGGCCACCTTGGTCTTGAGCGCGGCGATGGTGGCCTCGCGGCCCTCGGCGTCGCGGCGCGACTGCTCCAGCTCTTGCCGGCCGGCGCACGCCGCCACCTCGCTCTGGCGTAGTTCGTCACGCGCAGCAGCCGCTTCGGCCGCCAGCGTCTCCTGGCGGGCGCGCGCCTCCACCAGCTGTGCGTCCAGGTCGCGCGCGCGGCCGCGTAGCAGCACCGCCTCAGCCGTCAGCGCGTCGCGCTCGGCGCGGACCGAGCCAGCGGCGGCGGCGCGCAGCTCCAGCTGCTGGCGCATCACCTGCTGGCGCAGTTCGGCGCGCTCGGCGCCGGTCTCTTCCAGCTCTTTGCGCGTCACCTCCAGCACGCCCTCCAGGTGCGCCTTTTGTCGCTGCACCTCGAAGTGCTGGCGCTGGCTCCCGCCTGTCATCTGCCCTTGCAGTGCCTCCAGCTGCTGCCGGTACAGCTCGCGCTCCTGGCTGGCGTTCTGCAGCTGCAGCTGCAGCCGGTGCAGCTGCAGCTGGTCAGCGGCGGGCTGCGGCGCCGACGTGCGCGGTGTCGGCACCGGCGCGGCCAGCTCGGCCGGCGCTGTGGGGTCGCGCAGCACGCTCCGCAGCCGCCAGAGGTCCTCCTCGAAGCCGCTGATGTCGGACCAGGTGGAGCCGGTCGACACTACAGACCGACGGTCGTCATCGTCGTCGTCGTCATCGGGCAGCGGCTCGTGGGCCGCCACCGACGACTCGGCTGTCACCGTCGAGGCGTCCGATCGGGCCGTCCCGTCCGGCCGGCCGGATGCGTCGTCCGAGGGACCGCCGGGCTGGCTCTCGCCATTCAGCTCGGCCTGCCGAGGCGGAGACGGGGCGCGCCGGATCGGGGGCGCCCGCCCCAGGCTCGGCGCCGCCGACAAGGCCACCGCAATCTCCTCCCGGACCGCGGTCTGCTCGGCCGCACCGGCCGCCGACTCCTGGGCGACACGGGGGAACGGCGGCGCGGGTCCGCTCAGCTCCGCACGCAGCGCCTCCGCCGGCGGCTGGCCGTTTCGCTGCGGCTCGGAGGCGCCCGGCGGCGCGCCCACCGGGCCGCGCACACTGCTGACGATCTGCAGAAGGCCGCGTGGGTATGGGTGCAGATTGACACCGTCTAGCGCCGCGGGCCCGGCAGGCGGCGTGGCGGCGCCCGGCACACCAGCGCGGCAGAACAGCGAGGCCAGGTTCAGCAGGCCGGCTGTGTCAGGGGCGACCAGTGCCTGACTGCCTGCTGGCTGTTGTCCCTTGGGTTCCTGGTCTGGCTTCTGGTCCTGTTCAGCATCTGGCTCGGGCATGCCAATGCCCGTGACAGGCATGCGCTGGAGGGCATCTTCTGTGAGATGTGGCTGCTGCAGCGAGTCGGCCGGCAGCCGGTCTCCATGGAACTGATGCACAGAAGCCGGCTGGTTTGACACTCCACGCATGGTGGCAGTCAATGGTGACCCTGTTGTCTGTGAAGAAACAGTGAAGATACAGCATCTTGTTTTTTATCAGGACAATCCAGGTTTTTAAAATGTGAAAACAGCATGGGCCACAGAAGACAGAAGTAAACCACAGATGTAATGTTATTGCATTATTTCCATATTGAGCAGAAACATTTTGATTGGACAAAATTTTAATCTACAGCACAATGTTCTCCACTGATATCTACAACCCCACCTCAATTGGCAGAGGTAGTGTTGTATGCTCATGAGAAGCTTGGCTCATAAAATTCTTAAAAGATGACATTGCTCACAATTGTATTTACATTTTGCAAAACAAAAATACTGGAACACATGCAATTACAACACTGTATACAGTTTATATGGCTTGGCTACTGCTCTTCACAAAAATAACAAATTACATAAATTTGCCCCCAAAAAATGTCAGGGAAAATAAAAGGCAATCTACAAACAAGAATGTGGCTAACCAGCTTACAAATCAAGCAATGTTAATCATATTTGTGCTTTCAAATCTACAACTATAAACTATTCACATCATGCATTTAATGACTTGAAACTATAATACAGTCATGCATACAATTGGTGCCAGTTATTATGAGCTTGAGGCACTGACAGTATTCATGAATTTAAGTTTTGTTGCAATTAGTTTTACTAAACAGAGGGTGTAAGAACAAATTAATTACCATCTAATTCTAACCTTGTGCTACTTAATCACCACTTTCTTGAAAGTCATGCTCAATCTTGTGGATGCATTAAAACTAGCTGATCAGAATGGCACACCTTACTCAATGGATGAACATGTATGTCACATTTAGGGGCCACATATAAATGTGCAGCCCACTGCATATGTTAAGGAAGTAATTGAGTAAAAGAAACCATATTGATGCAGCCACAGGACAGACATCCATACAGCTGCACCTAGCATGTTGGGACAAAGAGGCCAAGAAGAGTTTGACGACGTATGGCCACTAAAACTTCCATCACCAACCTAGGAACAAACCACCAAGTACCAGCAGATTTATGCGATGCCGGTTCTCTGTCGATGGCTTGCTGCTTGCTATGCTACCATCATGGACAAAATCACATACATTTCCAAAGCAAAACACAGGGGATCTTGACTTTCCGGCATCGCCAACCGCCCCCTGCCCCTTCTCCTTAGTCCCCAGTCACCGATTTTAAAAGGAACTAAAGAGGCATCAACATGCCTATGTAAAGGTGCGACGACAATATTGAACACCGCCCATGCGCCAGAATAGCAGACAAATAGAATAAACAAGAGTTACGTGTACACATAAGCTAAACTACTGCTAGAGTATAATTACGCATCCTTGTCTGATGCTACGAATGCATCTCATTCCACGTGACGTAGGCATAGCAACGGGGGGGGGGGGGCATATCTCTATCTGCACTTTCTAAGGTGGGGGGTAAACATTGTTGACTGCCTTCTCCCCCTCTTTTCAGATATAATTCAGTTTTAGCTTACACACGGATGTGACCATTTAGTTTAGCGTACGTAAAAGGGCGTAGGAACAGAGAGAATGGGGAAGGGCTATACACCCCCCCCCCCCCACACACACACATTTTTCAAGGTGGGGAACCAGCAATGTTAACTACCACCCCCACCCCCCACCCCACACACACTTTTCAAGTCAAGTTTGAGATGAGCTTACTGTTATGCTACCTAAAAGTTAGACACGTGTGTTGATTCACGAATTCATCAGTCATCTTCCTGTATCTGCACTGGACAAAAGTGCTTTATGAAGTGAATGGCAACAAGTTATCCCTACATCAATGGTGAGCGAATACGAATATTTAGGGGCAAACTATGCATGCTGCTCTAGTACCAAGGCTCCGTTCTGTATATTTTAAAACATTTAACTCTTTAGCGTGGCTGATTCAGTTCCCTCAACTAGATTCACGGGGTTTAAGATAGATCTTGCATAGACGTTTTCGCGTATTTCAGCATCTCAGGTATATGTGTAAACGACGTTTCCATATAATTCGGGTTGCATGAAACGCGTAAAAGTTGTCGTTAATGCACGATCTAGTACAAGGTTTTAGGCATTACTTGAAATGTCATGAGTTCGCGGGCGGCTTCCGTCAGCGACATTATAACAGTATTGGTCTGACCAATGTATCATGTTAGGGCATTTTATGAAATGCTGGAAAACATAAATTGTTTCAAGGACAGCCTAACCAACTGAGTATAGACTCAACATCAGCAGAGTCAGCAACACAGTCAGCGCTGTTTATCGTGCTTTCGTCGCATCAGCTCCGCTCCAAACCGATCAAGTAGTGCAAAACATGTGGATGCGCCGCCGCTAGCCCGGTTGTGCCCCCGGAACCTCCGGAACCGAGCTAGGCGCTCGGAAGCATGGGTGCGTCTAAGGCATGTAGTGGTGATGACATTTGTCTACTGATGTTGCGTCTGAAGTCCTACTTTGGGGGGGGGGGGCTATTTTTGACAGGTTGTGAACTTTTCCATCGTGTCTGGAATTGTACTAGCCGGCTGGAAATTAGATACTACTTGACCACTTCATGAGTCTCGTAGCAGAACTGGTCCGGACCATCATAGATCGATTTCTAGCCTGCCGACAGATGCAAAATTAGGCGAATGAGTAGTGTGCAATTCACAGATGCTTTATTTATCCCACTCCTCCATATACTTCATGTTAAACAACATGGCTTCCAGCTCGGGTACTCCGCGGGGACAGCCACGCTCGAATCGGTGATGCATTTTTCGGAAGCCATTGACAGCGGAGAAATTGCTTCACATACGATGATTGACACATATAAAGCCTTTGACAGTGTCGAACTTAACCCGCTGCTGGAGAAGCTCACGTGCTATGAAACTTACGCTCGTGCTTTCGAGGCTGGCCTCGTGATCGTAAACAGCGTGTGCGTGGTGGAAATGACGTTTCACCGCTATGTCATGGTGCGATTCAGGGCTCCATATAAGAACCAATTTAATGTGTCATAGATGCAAGTGGCTTTCCTTTCCGCATCACCGACTGGAAGTTCGGTGCGTATGAGGATGATGTATAGGTTATCCACATGTGTCATCCGAACGCTTGCATTTGCCGCATCGAGGAAACAGGCGGTATCTGATTTCTGGTTCGCGCAAAATAATTTGAAGAAAATCTGATAAAAACCGGCTTTACCGTAGTTTATTTACGTCAGTGACGCCCAGTTGGTACGCTTTCCGATAAATTCGAAACTTCCGTTACTCAAACCTTCCAGTCCGTCAAAACTTTGGCATTGCCATTGACAGAGACCTGACTTGATAGGCAGTCGCATGTGTCAGCGGTGGTCAGGCACTGTTGTATATTCATCTGAGGCATATTAAAACCGTCATAGAAGATGACCGAGAATGTTAAAAAGAGGCTGATCGAAGCTTTACTCTTTCCCCATTACCGGTATTGCTTGAATGTATGATGAAGCGCCAACCACTCTCAGCGGCACCGCATTTAAAAATGGCTAGCCATTGGGCGCGTATCGTGGCAGGTATATACATGCCGCTAAGATCATATTTTCTGCATCCTTGCCAAGCTTTAGCAGCAGCGATTTGGCAAACTTTTAGTTGAACGTGACCTGGCGGCAATCCAAACAATCCCACACACGTCTTTCTGATCGATGTCTCTGAAAGGCATGTGCTGTAGCGTAATGCAATGTCAACCTGACCGGTGTCACGCGCGGAGCCATCGATAGCCTTTTAGAGCTATCGAAAGTACACGCCGAGACAGCCCAATGGAGCTTTGGGGCATTAGTATACGTGTAGCAGGCACCCGCGTCGTAGGTTTCCTCTGTGCGATACGTAGGCTGATACTCGGGGCGGTTCACTACGTGTAGCACCACGAACTCGCGACGCATTGACGTAATGTGTATTGCTCGTGGCTGACTGCGTTCGGGGAGCCAACTCCGCAATTGGACGGGCAAAATTTTCCGGTCAGGAGCTGGAGGGAACTCCGTCCCAACGTGGGGTCACTAGCACCTGCTTTCCTGGTGATACGGGCACAGAGCCCCTCTAGTCGATAGGGAGGCTCTCTGAGGGATACATCATACACCGGTCGTCTTCCTGATGCGACAGGCCCTCTGGCCGGGACATCTGGCGCAAGACTGACGCAGGGACCCAACTGATCAAAAAGGATTCCCCACTCATGCACGGGAATCTATTAATAATTGCCACCGAGATATCCATTTCGGGTTATCCATAGCAGGCATCAATTACGGGCCGACGGCTTATCTGCTCCTGACTGAGTCGGCGCGGAGGGCTCCTCTTCAGTGCTGGGGCCTCTGACTGTCACAGCGCTTTTCCACTGTATCGTTGTGAATGAAAACCCTGCCATCGTCATTTCTCACATCTTCCTTTCAATTTTGATATTCGGGTCCCGTCCCCGCCCCAGTTCAGTAAATGTGCCTCTGGCCGACTTGGGGCCCATTGCTGACATAGTCCCCTGATTGGCATTGTGGGCCTCTGAACGGCACAGGGTCCTTAACTGTTTCAAGGGCCCCGCGACCAATGCAAGAGGCCTTCTGGTTGACATTTGCAGGTCCCAAGCTTGCCCGTGCATGGGAAAGGGGCCCTTAGGGACCAGAAGCGACTGTTCGGTATTGATGACCTCAGTCAGCTGACCCACATAGAGGCTCTCCCTGTCTCATGGGCCCCCGATCGGCTGGAAGAGGCCATCGGACTGACCTATGGCATCTTGACATTTTGGGGCCCGGCCGTCGGGCTGAGATCTCTTCATGTGACCTCCGGCCCGCTCTTCGGACCCTCTAATCGGGGAGTTAATCGTCGGATCCGACGGGCCCTTTGGACCCCTTGGGACCCTCGGGACCTTAGACTTAACCGGGAGGGGGACGGGAGAGGAGGTACATACCCCTGTAGCCCCCCCCCCCCCCCCGCTACATAGGCCCTTGACAGTAGCGCTCTTGGAATAGGACTCCTAGTGAAAATAAAGATCGGGGTCATTTGTGTTTCCCTGAAATTAGCAGTCACTTGGAAATGAAGGCTCTGAACCCCTGAGATGAGGGCTTCTGATACCCTCTGCACCGCAGGGTTTAAACCCAGGATCTTATGACCTTGGAAGACAACGAAATGGCTGTCCCCCTTGAACATGGAAGCGCCGCGGGCACTTTCAATGGTCCGCTAGATTTGGTATCTCTAGGAAATAAATGTCATGGCGTCCCGAAATGGAAGGCTTGGTACCCACTTCGCCGAGCGGGCCGGCGCAGTTTCGTCGATGGAGAGGCACGAGCATTGCGGTATACCCCGTTATTTGTTGTCTCTTGAAAATGCAGGCTTCGGACCGTTTGTGGTGCCTTCAGGCATTCGGTGCATCTGGAGAATAAAGTTTACGATGCCCCGAAATGAAGGATTTTGGTGCCCCTTCACCGAACGGGCCGGTCCAAGATTTTGGCACAGTGAAAGACACAGCGATTGTGGTTCGTTCGGATTCCGGTCTTTTTTTAAAACGATGACGCTTTGAATAATCCGTTTGAATATGATGCGTTTTGAAAAAAGATTATGGTGCCACGCATTGAAGGTTTTGGTGCCCCTGCTCTCACCCACAGGGTCGATCCAGGCTTTCGTCAAGGCGGAAGGTACGGCATTACTATCCCCCTGGAAAATAGTGCCCCTTGGCAATAGAGGGTCGTGGAACTTTGTGGTGCCGTCTTCAATGATACGCCTCTTGAAAAAAACGCGTTATAGTGCCTCGAAGCGAAGGTTCGCCGCACCTGCCGAACCTTCGGATCCAGCCGAATCATGGTCTGGTCAATTCCTCGTTCGCAGAATGGGCCGAACCATTATTTTTTTTAAAAGTCACGGCAAAGATATTGTGGTGCTGCTGGAATTTGGTGACTTGAAAATGAAGATTTGGGGTCCTTTGTAGAGCCACTGGAATTTGTTGCGTGTTGAAATTGAAGATTGTTGTTTCGAAAGGAATGCCATGGTGAGGCACCAAAACCTCATGGCACCCAATGGGGGACCTTGGCCCCATCGGCTCCTCTGGATCTACCTCTGCATGGAAATCAAATGCTGTTTCGATACACGCGCTGATTATTCACAGTTAACACGCGCTCGGGTGGGGGTCAAATTGACTCTCCCCAAAGGTTTTTCCGGAATGGTTTCCGGACGGCGCGGTGCAGCCGCGCAAAATTTTGTGTAGTTGTAGATAATTGAATAGTGGATAGTTTGGCATCAAAAAT